TCTATGTGATGAAAATCTAGGTTTGATTTGCATCCTTTGCCTTGTTTTTGTGTGTTCTTTTCCTAAATTCACTCATAAGATTAGATCCTTTCTTTGTTCTAAAAACAGATGCAGGCAATAGATTCCTTTCYAGCAGGAGTACATCTGAGAGACTACTGTATACTAGCCTGAGTCTGAATAGTATGTAGGTGTCATGCAATGCAAATAAAAACTTCAGTATTCTGAGGGTTTCTTAAAYTACTACGAGTATTTTCCTTTCTCTTGAAAGACATGCACTATGTGGGCTGTAAGAGGTAACTTGGACCAAAAACATCTTGGGTTTGCATGGACATTGCTGTTCTTCCCTTGCATATAGCAATGGAAAGGTTTCTGACCATCTTGTAGTCAAATGTAGTTCAAAAGTCAAATACTGCTTTTCAGGTCAGAAATTAATTGTTTCTATTTTCTGTAGAGCTTTTTATACATCTCTGAATAGAACATAAAACATCTATCTGATGTTTCTTCTGATAGCTGTGTAGTTATTAACATGCAAATTGTGCTGCCATGCRCAGCATCCATTTTCATCTTGCATGTATGGGAAAGTATGAGCCCAGATTGTCAAATGCAGGTGCCTAAACTTAATAGTAAACATCTATAAATCAGTGTGTATCTAAATATGGATTTATAGATGTGCTTTGATGCATTTYAAAGCTGTGAAGGCTCTGCACAGCAGGGAATTGGGAATCTTTATCTCATCATGGATTGGTAGCTAGGTATAAGCTTTTACGTTGYGTGATTTTGGCCATAAGCTTCTTTATAGCAAGTTAWAAATTCTCTATAAATATTYGAGGTGTTTTTTGACCTTTTAACTWTTTTCTGCGTTGATTGTCTGTAAGATGATTTGTAAGGAAAAACACATTTACAGACTTGGAGGAGGAGATGCACCCTCAAACTAAATCCTTCTCAAAAACRAGAGGATTTGAGATCAATCTCCTATTCTCATTTAGCTAATTTCTCTGTGAATATATTGAACTATAAATGACAGTAGAGCTCTGCTAAATTACACTGTGGTATCTTAAATGGTTTGGCTGATGTTCATTAGTTTGTGTAGCCTGCACTAGCAAATTTACAGTTCAATAAATCTTTCCCTTTTTACCTAAGGGACATATAATGCAAAACACTTGAGCACAGGGTGTTTTAGACATGTGTTCACTAATAAGGCAACTGTGCTACTTGTTGAGTAAGCTGGAGTAGCATTAGATATCCAGAGGAGGGCACCTGTGGCCCTGGAGTCTGTATGTTCCAATCTAAGCGGTGTCTATACATCAAACTTTATTTTGGAGGGGGACGGAGGCTTTTTAGAGAGTCTTGTCTGAAGTGAGCCAAAGGACTATTAAGCAGTCATGGGTTATGCATGGTATCCGCTTGAAGATTAGTTTGCTGGTCTCTATAATTAATKGACATATTTATTGCACAAATTACTATCAAATAAGAGCAACTTCTTTCAAGTGCTTTCAGAACAGCAGCTGTGGGCTGTGGAAATGCACTCATATCATGAAGGCCAAAAGCGTTTTCTGCTCTAAATTCAGTCCGGCCTAGGGTTGGTAAATATTTAGAAAAGGACTTGTTCTCTCTAATACAATGCTCTGTTTCTTTGAGCAAAGTAACTTGGGTTCCTCTTTGGGTCTGGGGAAAGAACTGAACAAAAGAATGAAAGWACGCAGTATTTCCAGTAATAGAGTTCTYCCTTGGAGGTGTCACCTGGAAAGTSATGTCAGTTATAGAAATAATGCTATTGGAGAAATCGGAAGATCATGCTGTCTAAAATCCAAGTAGTAGTTCAAGTACTGTAATGGCCCTCTATAGTATTACTACTTCATTGCTGAGGTAGCATCGGATCGTGAACATGAACTTGTATTATATGAAAGTAGGGGTCAAACTGGAACTGTAAAGTTTGCAATCAAATTGGTTGTTAATGTAGTGTGAGATTAGAGAAATGAAATGTAGTTTTAGCTCTTTCTTCCTACACACAGGTAGCAGGACAGATATTTCTGGAATCCCAAACATTGAGCTACTTGCAGGAGCTCTTTCATTTTGTCTGCTGAATGTTCAAATTACTTTTAGATTTTGGTTGAGAGTTTCTATGAAAAGCTTCATCTGAAATGAGATTTGGTATTTCTGTGGGAGGAAAAGTAAATCACTTAGCCAAAGACAAAGGAGTGTTTTTTCCAAGGTCTTTGGAGAGTTCTAACCTGTTTTCTCTCTGTCCTGCTGAAGCTAATAGGAGCTTCTGAAAGCTGTTGGTGAACTTGTCCTACACCTATATCACTCTGAAGACTTGAATTTCTTGATTTTTTTTTTTCYGGGCTAGAGACAAAAATATAATTAATTTCAACATCCAAAATATACTTTTATTTGAAAGTTCATAAATTTTAGCAGAGTTTTAAACTGTAAAGGCATGTTTTTCACATACTATACACACCAAACCCTACAAAGCTTGTAAAATGTAAAGTGTAAAATATCTGCAAAAATATTTGACACTTTAGTTTCCTMTACATGATAGTCTTTTACAATTGCATCAGTTAACTTCTTGGTTCTGATAGCAAAATGATAGGCTATGTATTGAGGAAAGGGAATGAGGCTGTGTCCTTGATATGAAAGCTGCAATCATGAATTGATTTACACCATTGCTAACGYTGCTTGGTGTTGGGTGGCTGTAGCAAAGTATGAAAAAAGCTCTAGCTTTCCTCGTTCTGAATTACTTTCTGCTTGCTAGACCAGTTGATGTAGATTAAAGTCCTTCTGAATTGAAAGCTTGCTTGTACAGTATGAGTTGAGAAATACTAAATGCCTATAAATCTTGACTTGCTTAGCTTTTCTTCAAAGATCTCAGAATATCAAGCTAATTGAATAACACTAAGTTCAACATGTAGTTTTGTACAATTGAATTCATTCCAGTTACCCATCAATACTATATTTCTTGCTAGTGCCCTCCTGAGTTCTTATTAAGTGAAATTTGATGAGCTATGATAGCAGGGTCACCTTCCCAGCTTCATAAAGAAGTTGCTGAGCAACAATGTTCCACAAAGGATTACAGAACTAATCCCCTAATTTTTCTTTCCCTCCAAAGGCTGTTTKGCTTATCTGTTCAGGCTGGCATGATAAAGAAAAAGGGGATTTTCTATTAACATTTTACTATGTTATATTTTATTAAGAGATACACTGACTATGTCTGAGGTGATCGTAAATTTAGGTTGTTTTTATTTTCTTAACACTAACAAAAAAAGCAGTAGTAGAAAGAAGCAAGGAGTAAAAAGGAAGTATCTGTGTGTATCCTCACAAAAGGAGATTTAGAAGGTAGCTGGCTGATGTAAACGAGTGCTCCATTTAAGAGCAGAGCTATGTTGTATCAGCTAAAGCTTGATTTGCTCAGCTTCAATTTCTTCAGTGAATTCTGACTAAAGAAATGAGAATTGCACATGGTAATTTGTGGTTTATTTTCTTGTGTTCAAATTCAACAGGAATGTCTATTTATGWCTGAGGGTGTTTATAGTAGTCAAGCACTTCCTACATTATTGATTATGCATTGGGTTCTGGTGTTGACATAAATGTGTTAAATAGCTTCACTAGATTGCAAATTAAAATTCTGGATTTGTAATTGGCATGAGAATGTTCCACTTCTGCACAGGTATTAGTTCATCTTTATGTMCTGAAAAGAAGAAAACACTGAAATTGGAGATGATAGAGGATGGAGGTTAGAGCTGTACTTTCGACCATCAAGGAGTGCCAGCACTTGTGTGCGCTCATTTATTCTTCTCGATGTGCTCCGAGACATTCATTAGTGGTAGACTCATGACTGAAATTGTGGAGTAAGTAAGAGTTTGCCCTTGATCTGTGAAAAAAAAAAATAAAATATATATATATAATGAACCAAGCTGGTACTAATTAATACATCCTGTAGCTCTGCCTGCTCTCAGTCTGTTGGAGGGGTTTTGGGGGGATTTTTTCTTCTGGAGAGCTATTAGACTTTTTTCAGCACAGATATTTATGGCTGTTATTAATGCTGTTTAGCTTTAATGTATATATCTACAGTTTTGGATCTTCAGAAATTGTCTTGGTCAACAAAGAATATGAAAAAAATCACTTTTGTATTTCARAAAATGCATTCCCTGCTTTAGGGACATATTGCATACAACTCTTGCTGAAATGGATATGAGTTTAGGTGCCAAAGTATCTCCAAGAGCAAGGATAAACTAAAAAGCTGAGAGGAATGAGAGATCGACTATGACAGCATTTTATCATAGCTGATAAAATTGCCTGTAGATCAGCTGGTCATAATGAAAATAACATGCAGTTTATTAGGACTATTCAGAGGGCTCTGCTCTTACTGCTACTCCAACAGCTGCCGATTGCTGAATGAAGGGAAGTTTACTGTTTCTTCATCATCATTATTACTGCAGGAGTAAGCCCCTCTTGCTTCTGTTTTAAACCTAAAAACTGAAAAGTAAACTCTAATCTAAGGTTTGCAGATGACTTTTCAGATTCCCACAATTTGAAGGATATGCATTCTGGCAGTATTAAGTGACAATAGTAAAATCTACTCRGACAAAATAGTCTTGAACAGTCTGGAATAGTCTACATCTTTTCTATGGTTTGAAACTATGAGTTTTCTTCATTTAACTCAAAAGGCAATAAAGCTATAAACCKCTTTGGATCAATGATCTTTTATCAAATATCTCTTAATCCTATTTAGTCTTGCTCTCAGATCAGTTTTTTTTAGAGGCTGAGAGATTAATTCTGTGTGCCAAGAATAGAATTAAAGTGGGATTGTCTTTTCGAGTTGCCAAGCATATATGGGAGTAGGAAAACCCACGAGGACTGGGATAGTCTTGGAAGCAATCTGTGGAAGGAGAGTGGTGGTTCTCATTTCAATTTTGCTCAGTTTGTAACATCTAGCAGACTTGAACATGAATAGAATGACTAAGGGAGTTTCCTTGGGTTTTGCTGTGYTTCCCTTTCAGCACAGTTTGATGATCCTGGGGAGCGTGCACAGCACTGAGCCATCTGCTTCTTGCCAAGGAATTGCTGCTCTCTGTCTGCCAGATATAAAGGGCTTTTCCTTAAAAATCTCTCATGTGATTACACTGACATCTGGAGTTCAGAAGAAGGCTCACCTCGTGGTCTTTGAAATTTGCTGCAGGATTGTGTGCCTCTGGATGTATACACATGCACACTCCTTTCAGTAGGACTTTTTAAGACTTTAAAATAACCTGTTGACTTACTAGCTTCATTTAGGCTCATTTTTAATATTGGTCATTAAAAATAAAATAGAAGTTTTTTACCAATGCAAAAGACAGATCCTTTGATTGAAAAGGTGAAAAGATGGTGACTGAAGATAATAAAGCCTTGCAACTATTCCCAATTACATTTAACATAACTGATTCTCATCTTGTGCTTTTATTCCAAAAGCTTTTAAGAAATGTTTGAGCTTTTGAAGGCCAAGCAAAATGACATACCCAGCACTTGTGAAGACTATCTGACACTGTTACCCCAAAATAACTTGAAGATTTTACCACCCTATATTTCAGCCCTGTGTATTTTTCCCCTCTGTACCATTTGAAATGTGCTCTCCCTCTTCTGAAGCTTAAAAAATATAGCTTGCTTGTGAATGCTGTTGACTTATGTGCCTTAATGTTAAAGATGATGGTGCTGTAATTTGTGTATTCCATAGCCCCTTTTCAGTTGGGCTTCTTCCCTTKCTTGTAAGCACCCCTTGCCTCTAGGAAATAACCATCCCTAAAGACCACAGAATTCTTGGTGAAGAATAAGTACAGACTGAATCGTTGAATTTATTTTTATGCTATCCTAGAGGAAACAGTGATTATTAAATCACCTCCAGGCAGAACCTTGGGCTTTGGATAGCTTCCAACTTATTTTGCCTGTCCCCTTCTTTAATGTGCTRGATATGATGAGACCCCAAGCTGGCATTGMTTCAGGCAGTTACTGCAGCAGTTCRGTAAAAGTTGTCTGTAGGTAAGTTCTTTTGATGTGTTTATGGTATTGTTAAAAACAATAAATGTATGTCAACATATATTAGGCTTTCACCTAACTTCTACTGAATGTTTCCTGTTGTGYGCTACCATATTCTCACTCATAGGACAAGCACCACAACAGAAGATGCTTGGATAGAAATGGATTGGAAGAAAACTGAACCCATGAAAATGCTAGTAAAATGACACTTGTGTTTTTGAAAGTGATCTTTTTAAGTGTTAACACGTTCTTTGTGCTTTACAGTAAATGAAGTGGAAGGTGAAGACAGCTTCACTCCCATATAATGGGACAAGACTGAGAAGCTAAGCAGAGRTGGATAGTTATTTTTATGTTCTGGGGAGGTGGAAGTGGGACCACCAAAAGAAGACAGGCAGCCAATAGTGCAAACCTAAAAGTTCAGCTTTTGCTTCATGCCTACTAACTTTTGAATGTATAACCACATCACCTTGAGGCGATGTTTAAGTAGTTTCCAATGAGTTTGTGAACTGGGTTGTTTTAAGAACTACACGACCAAGGTGTGAATGAATTAAAAAAAGAAGTCACACAAATACAAGTTCATTCTATAATCTGGAAAAAACTTAAGTGAGAAGACCTTTATTTAAAACCTGGATGTCCGAGTGGTACAGTGCTTGCAATTTCATTAGAGAAGGTGGTTCCTCTTGTTCACTTTTATTATAACTTAGAAAGTTCTTATCAAGCAGACTCTTTACCTTTCCTGAACAGGGGAAATAAATGGACTGAGTAATACTTAGATGGTGATACTTGCATTTTTCAACAAAAATAAGGAACTTGATTTCCATAAATGGCTGAGGTCACTGAAATATTTAAATTCTGAATTGGGGTGTAGATTTTTATCAATTACTTGGAACTCCATAAATGTGCTACATTTCACARAATGTGGGAAGAAAATATTCATCGTTTTGTTTCAAAACCACTTATTACATAAGACTTAATAGAATATAGAAGGGAGTTGTCTGCCTCACAAGTGATAAAAATCTGACATAAACCTCTATTCCAGACTAGCAGCTTCCTGGGAGTCAATATTGGAGCTGTGTGTGCATGTGTTGTCTTTCTGCTCACTGTTTCCCCTCCATGCCCCCCACATGTAGCTTTAAATAAGGTTTTACCACCTGCACTGGAGCAAATAAATGTCATTTTCAGATTTTATGTGTGAAAACACAATGATTATGGAGTAACTTATTCCAAGTATATAATCACTGAGAGTTTGGGGACCCTTGGGACGGATTGTGCACATCTCAAAATCAACGCTTTCCAGAGATGAAAAGCATTTCCTTAGTGAAGGATAATCTTGTTTCAGTCGTACTAGGCTTAGGAATTGAAACATTTTGAGCAATCAATACTGTTCTATAGAATATRAAAGCAAAGACAGTACTTTTATAAGTCAAGGAGATCGTCAGAGATTTGATATGAATATTCTAGCCAAGTTCTCTTGGGAAATTTACATATGAACTTTTGCTATAAGGTATGGGCTTTATTTTTTCAAATAACACTTTTTCAAATCTGATTAACACAGGTAACAGTGGAGAAAATCATCAATCCATAATCTGTTCTCCTTGTGTTGATCTTTTTGAGGACTCRAGAGTAAGTGGAAGAACAGGGTTGCTGCTAGAGAGTGAGCAAGGAGCTGTGAGTGACAGATGAAAAAGTGATTAAAATGAAGAGTGGGAGAAGAGGGATTTTCTGATAAGACTGGACTGAGAGGCATGACAGGAACACAAAAGGAGACACATTACTAATGACAGATGTATTTGAGAAGAAAATTGAACTGGAATTGTAAGATAATATTGACCTAGTATCTTTCAAGCGTGTCGATGTTCTAACAGAAAATGAGTCAGTGGTTTCTGTATGATAGTCTTGGCAAGATTTTACTACTTTGTGAGATCACTTGTTGTCCTAGACCTATCGTTGCCAGTATTAATAAAATGAAAGCTGCTTTTTCTTTGCTCTTGTGGACAGTGGCTCTCGGGGGTGCTAACTAGCTTATTATCTTGTGGTGATGGTGTATGTTGTTTTTATTTTCATTCTATTTAGCAAACTACAGAACAAATAATAAGTGCATAAAAAGAATCTACCAGTGGACTGTCTTTTTGTCAAATGAGTACTTCTTGGGAAATGTGCTAGTATTTAAAAAAAAAAAAAAAAAAAAAACTTGAGGAGACTGCAGATTTCACATCAAGAAGTATGTGGCTTCATTGGAAGTCTAAACCTACTTTCTGCGAAAGTGAAACTGCATTTAAAATGTACCTCGTGTAGGATTAGGGATCTGATTCATCCTGCAGATCTGCTGCAACTTTCTAATGTAAGTGTAATGTCACTAGGCAGGAGGCCTTCAAGCCCTGCAAGGGGAAAGAAGTTGGGTGGGACAAATTAGGAAAAGAAGCTGTTAAGAGGATGACATGATGGCCAGAGGGAAGAATATGATAAAACTGGTATTCTGAAAGTGCACCTTGCCTTTGAGTTGAGGTGGGATGGGGAAGTCTTGGCTGCTCTGGTTAAAAGGCCTGGAGCATGAGGACAGGCCCGGGAGGAGATGAGATGGTACATGATTCCATTACTGCATGAGGCAAGTCTGGCCCTGACAGCCTCAGTCTGTGACATCTTCTGCATTTTGATTTTTTCAATCTTAGTCATTCTGTGTCAGCCAAGTTTTGTGTGAGCCTATGTTTGTATACCATGAAGAGAGGAGAAAACATTGTATGGATGGGATGGCTGAACGTGTTAAATTTTCATTGTTTAATGGAAGTTTGTTGGAACTTCATTTTGGTTCTGCTACAGATGCTTCAGTACCTCTAAAAATGAAGTCCAAAGCTCTTCAGGCCCCATCTTCCAGTAACTTGCAGCAACATTTGAATTAATTCATTTCTATGGGCTTTTGCCAGCATGACAAGATAAATCAAGATTTTAATCTAGCATTTCAGCAGACAAAATCGCTYTAAAATACTTCCATGATATTAGCGATAGACATTAAGGATGTAAATAGGCTCTTCTATGATCCAGTTTCCCCTTATACCATTACAAGGGGACTGGCAGCTGCCAACCTCAAAAGTAGCTGGTGAGCAAAGTCAGTCGCTGGGTCACTGCTGTGATTCCTCTGGGGCTGGGGAAGTAGGGGAGGAAAAGGACAGTTGTGAAGTGCATGGGGCTTGTGCCACAGTTTCTTCTGCTGCTCGAGTCAACAGAGGTTTGCCATCATCTTCCACATGAGGCCTCTGGCACAGTGGGGACCCTTCCGTGCCTCGATCTGTCCAGGTCATGTTYATGTTTAGACATTAAACCTGTAACTGCATAGTGTCATGCAGCAGTATTATTTTGCAGCTGTTGAGACTTTTTAGCCATCAGTAGCAGGGGGAAACTGGGATATTTTTGTTCCCTAAAGGGGCATCTGTAGGACAGCAATTAAGAGTTGCTGTTAGCCACTGTTTTTTTTCTCTAACAGGGATTAGTGATAGATATTAGCCAGTGTGTTAAACTCTGGAAAAGAATTCCATTTTGGGTSTTAGGTTAAACTTTTTTCTGCTCAATTTCTTTTGTTTCATTTTAGGTTACTGTTTCATGGGAAAACGAGAAGAGACACAAAATTCATTGCAGGTTACTGACTGTTTAGCTTTGGAGAGACAACAAGGAAACCTGCTGTGTTTCCCAGGCAACTCCCAAGTTGCAAATCTAACCTAAGAATAAGGTGTTTAAAGAAAATCCAAAATCATACAAGCTTATTTTGGCTTCCAGTCTCATTTCAAAGAGTTAGCAGGGTTTTACTCAAAGATCAAATGCATGTGTGTTAATTTTTTCATCTTGAATGTTCACACTATATTCAAGTCTTTTATATTTCTATATAATCTATGTATTTCTTATATATGAGTATGTATGTAAATATGCTTCTGTTACTTGAGTTRTTTTTGAGTCTTAACTCTCTTGAAATAAAAATGACTTTTTCCTGTAGCTTTTAATACAGGGAAGAGTATGAGACTGAGTTCCTATTTTCAGGTCTGCATTTCCAATCTTGGAGACCAGGAAGTTCAGCTTCCCCTGGTGGCTGGGAAGGAGCCTTCTCTGTATCCTGGGAGCAAGAAAGTGCGGTTCATCTTTCCCTCAGGCACCTTCATTAGAGGTAGAGGTTGTATCTTTATAAAGAGCTTGAAGAGTTATGAGGTTGCYCATTTTGTGAAGGTCCTGCCCTCTTCT